AGGTAAGGATTAACAACAACAACAAGAGTGTTGCCTCAGTAGAAAAAGAAAAAAAGACTCTCCTATCACTCAGAAATTCCAAGGGACTGAGGAGTACAACCATTTTCTGCTATAGACTCATTCCTTGGCTCCAGACTTACTGCAACATTTCTCAAACAAGGCTTTTCACTTCCTCTTCCTCCATTCTCTCTTGAACTCAACCCAATGAAGATATCTGCCTGTGTAAGGCCACCAGATCTGCCTTTGTCCAGATCATTTCTGATGCCACTTACTAAGTTTAAACCAGTGGTTCCCAACATGGGGCACACGACCCACAGGGGGGAAATTAGATCTTTAAGGGGGGCAATTGGAGAATGAATTATCAACAGTGAAATTTTTGCATTTCTTATGGTTCTAAGGGCCTCATATACAGTATATAAATATATATTGTGATGTATTTATGCATTTCAGTTCTCTATTGTATGTTTTGAAACTTTGCTATTTTTTAAATCACTTCATATTACTGTTATTTTTTAAAACAATTTCTTAGTGATTTCTTCCTTAGTACTTCAACTGCCCTTTCATTCTTTTCTTTTTCTTTTTCATGGATGCCATGTTCTTTGGAAGCTTGTTTAGACCACTTAATGGCCTTTTAGGCTTCCTCCACGTGAATAGGAGTTCACTTTTTGAATAATAAGAATTCTATGTCACGGGGGTGGATGAGCATCAGGATTTTAGAGGTGCTTAGGTGGGGCATGGCCCAAAAGAGGTTGGGAACCACTGACTTAAACGGTCATTTCTCAGACCCTATTTTACCAGACTTATTAGCATTTGAAAAAAGGTGAGGACTCTCTCACCCTTGAAGTTCCATCCCCATTTGGCCACCAGGACCCAACTCTACACTCTCCTGGTGAATTATTTTTCTTCAGTGGACTGTTTGCTCTTTTCACCACACCTCCCCCTACTCTATGTGCTGGAGGGCCCCAGGGCTCTGTCCGCAGACCCCTTCTCTTCTTTGTGGCTTCATCCACTATCAGACCTTGATGTAGAAGACCCACAAGTCTCTGTGCCTCCCACCTGGACCCCTCTCCTGAACTCCAGACTCTGGCCATCTACTTGTCATCTTCACATAAACATCTCAGAAGTGCCTCAAACTTACCGTAACCAAAATAAAGTTTGATCGCTTCTCAAAAACATACCTTTCCTGCAGGGTTGGCAATTTCAAGAATTGGTACTTCAATTCTTTAAGTTGCTCAGGGCAACCACATTAGAGTCATCCTTGGTATCTATGGATATTTGTGGACATCTATGGACCCTTATGACATTGTTGGACATCTGTGACATCCATGAATATATCCATGACAATCAATGGACATCACTGACCACCTTTGAATATCTATGACATTCCTGGACATCTGTAATATCCATAGAGTTATCTTTGACATCTATAAGCATTTAAGAGCATCTATGACTATAGATAGACCTCTATGACATCACTGGACATCTATGACATCTATGGAGTCCTCCTTGATGTCTATGACACCTATGAGGTAAAGGCAGTGAGCTCACACCCAGTGTACCCTGTCATTCCATAGGCAAATCCTGTTGACCCCACCTTCAAAATGTATCCAGATCCCAACTGCTTCACACCAGATTCATCACTGATGCACTAAGTCTGTTTTATGGACTGAACTGTGTCTCCCAAATTCATGTGTTGAAGCTCTAACTCCCAATGTGACTATATTTGATGATAGGTCTTTTAAAGAGGTACTCAATTTTTTAAATGGGGTCATTAGAGTAGGACCCAACATGACTTGAGTCTTTGTAAAGAAAAAAGAGAGGCCAGGAATACATGAGCACAGAGAAAAGGCCAAGAGAGAGCAAGAAGGTGGTCATCTGCAAGCTCGGAAGGGACATTTTACATTTGTAATGTAATAATTTATAAAAATACAGATATTGACAAGTGGGAGATACTGGCCGAAGCGAAAGATAAATGCATGGGTGATGACTGATCATGTGCTCAAAAACCTCACAGTGGTATCCACATAAGTTAGAGTTCGATGAGAGTCAGAACTTGGAGGATGAGCAGGAGCAGGGTGGGTTGAGGCAGGCATGTGAAAAGGAGGGGACAGCTGAGCGATGATTCTGAGATGCAAAAGGCTTACTTTGCTGGAGGCGAATGAGCAGGTAAGTGTAGAGGGCACAAAGCATGGAAGGTGACTGGTTTTTCCTGGCTCAAATGCCAGACCAAGTTGTCTGGGTGCTCAGCAGTGTGGAGAACCAGTGCATTTCAGACTTGGGTGTGATGGGGCAGTGCTGGGGAGGAGAGGAGTGAGGGCTGCAGCAGACATGCTTTGCAGTTTATTAGTGCAGAAAGAGCTGGTGGAGGACTGGGCGGTACAGGGTCGGGTCTCTGGTTGGGTGTCAGGGACAAGAATAGCATTGGTGCCCAAACTGGTTTGGCTGAGTGGATAGAGCGTCAGCCTGTGGACTGAAAGGTCCCAGGTTTGATTCTGGTCAAGGGCATATACCTTGGTTGGGGGCACATCCCCAGTAGTAGGTGTGTAGGAGGCAGCTGATCGATGTTTCTCTCTCATCGATGTTTCTAACTCTCTATCCCTCTCCCTTCTTCTCTGTAAAAAATCAATAAAATATATATTTTTAAAAAGAATAGCATTGGTGATATGGAGAGCCCAGCAGAAGTATATTTTGGGGGTGTATTAACCATGTGCATTTCATGTTTTGACATCTGGGGCTTTGATAACCCTAGAGAAACTGTCCCTGCCAGGACTAGCTAATTTCTAGAGATAGTAAAGGACTTGCCTCTAAGTGTGACTTTCATATTGCAAACCAACCAGTCCATTCCAAACTCCATGCCTCCAACCATCTCCTTTATGGAACTCTTACACTTCTGACCAGTCCCTTCCTGCCCTGATCACACCAGGACCAGGGACCAGACAATGAGAGACAGTCCCTACAGCCCAGAGCCTGTTGAAATTATTCAAACTAGCTATTCCTAAGCCTGCTTCCCCTGCCTCACCTCACCTTCCCCATGGAAACCACCATCAAGGTTCCTGCCCACATTTTCTCCTTCACTCCCTCTGCCTCCTGACCGACCCTGGTGCTGCCCTGTGTGGCTCTGTGGTGTGACGTTTTCCCCTCTTGGGAACTGTGAGGAACAAATCAACAAGGTGTCTCCTGATCTGTTGGCCTGACATACCTGAAAAATAATAAAACCTACATTTTCCAAAGGAGTGGAAAGGTGAAGAGCTCATTTCTGGACACGCTGAATGGAACGCAAATGTGGGTCACCCAGGAAGTGGGGGCAGGGTTGCATGCCAGGTTGTCCATGTTACTCACCAGGGAAGCTGGTCCCATGGCAGTGTGGATGTTGTCCATGCCCATTGCTGTCCTGGCTTTCTTCCTGCGGGTCTTCACTCTGTTGGGAGACGCCAGGGTCTTTGACACAGGGTCACTCTTTGAGGCTAGAATGAGTGACTAGGGAAGATCAAGGGTGGGGCAAGACCAGGAGCCTTCATAACAAGACTTTGGAACAAGGTTTTCCCCCACACCTCCTGATTCAAGCCTGGCTCAGTGGCTATGGGCTGGTTTCTCACCACCACGGCACCCCTTACCATTGCTCTGGGCCCTCACAACCCCTCCAGGTCCCTATTCTCCACCTCTGGCCCACACCTGTCCCATCTCACACAAAATAGATGAGGCAGAGACAGCCAGCCAGCAGTGCAGTGACACCGGCTCCTCCAACGGCCGCCCGAACCACGTCTGCCTTTGTCCTCGGTTCCCCTGCAGACAAGAGAGATATGGGTGAACTCCAAGCTTGATGAGCAGGCATGTATCCACTCTTCTCAAGCATGAAGAGATGGGTTCCCCTCTCCTCCCATCCAGGGCTGAGCAACTAGGTCCTCCAGAACCATGGGGTGAAGGACACGGTCTACATGACATCTCCTATCCAGTCCCCACACTCCTGTGCAGCAAACCTCATCTTTTCTAAGACCCAGGTTCTTCTCCATCTAGGGTTTCTCTGCCACAGACCCCAGACCTGGCTGCAGCAGGACCTGGAGCCTCAGTGTCCCTAGGACACTCCAGAGAGAGACACACACAGAGCCCTGTGGGTTGCTGAAAGACCTCTCTTCTTCCTTCCTGGGAAGGTGTCAGAATCTTCTCTCCTGACCTCCACTGGCCATGTCGCTCAGGGTCAAAGGTTGTCTTTTGTGCCTCCAGAAGAAGGTGAAATCCAGGAGGTTCTCAGACCTTCAGGCAAGACCCAGACAGCTTTCTTGGTCTCACTTGGCCATGCCTCCCAGGAGCCCTGGCGTTAGGGATGTGTCTCTGAGCATCACCTGTTACAGTCTGATGGAAGTGCTGAGAGAGTCCTAACAGGGTCACTGACCAGAGGGGGTGGGGACCAGATGCCATTACCAATGGGAATAGGGCAGGAGGAGGATAGGGCTTCAGAGACAGGTCAAGGTGAGGACCAAGGGGAGGGCAGGCCAAAAATAGAGATATTCAGAGAAGTGAAACTGCTCTACATGACACTATAATGGTGTACATGTGTCATGATACAATGTCCAAGCCCATTGAGTGTACAACACCAAGAGTAAGCCATAATTATGAGTTTTAGTTGACAATGATGTGTCAGTGTCAGTTCCTCGATTGTACAAATGTCCCCTCCGATGGGGGATGTGCGTGTGAAGAAGGGTGTGACGGGTTTAGGGGAAATCTCTCTACCTTCTGTCTCCTGCTAAATATTTCTGTGAATTTATAACTGCTCTTAAAACTAAAGTCTACTCTAAAATACCCCAAGGCATTTGTAACTGGGGGAAGATAAAGAGCATCTGTTAGGGAGGGCAGGGGGAAGGTTGTGGTCAGTCTGGTCAGACAGTGGTTGCAGGGTATTGGGGAAGAGGTCAGATAGGGGTGCTCACATTTAACTGCACCCACACCTCCCTGCTGAATACTGAAGTCCAGTTCTGAATCACCCAGACAGAGACCCATGTCAGTCAATGCCCCAGGACAGAAGGCTCCTTCCCACCTGCACTGTCTCCTAGGCAACCACCTGGTGTTGGGTTCTGTGTGGCACCTAGGACAGGAAGAAAGAAATTCCTTCTTCAGTGAACTGAGATGGAGTAAGGATCATTTAGGCATTCCCCCTCCACCCTCAGAGACCACAGAAATGCAAGAGGGACAGGGCTTTGTGCTCTAGGTCCCCTACACAGCCTGGCCTTCAGGACAAAAGCACCGATCACACCTGCCTGGCCCTCCTGCTCTGCACACCCTCAGGGACCTGCTGTTCCGACCCAGCACTCACAGGTGACGTTGAGCTGGATGGTTGTCTCCACGGTCACACCAACGGCAGGAAAATGCACCTGACAGGTGAGGTTGGTGCCATGGTCCTGGGGCCGTGGGGTGAGGGTGAGCACGGAGGAGAGGCGGGTCCTGGGGCCCAGGGAGCTGTGGGCAGCTGACGTCCAGGAGAAGATGGGGGGTGTGCCCCGCTCACAGCCCCAGGGCACAGAGCAGGTCAGGTTCTTGGGGAGGCCGCTCTCCAGGGTCTCCGGGATGAGGATGTTGGGTGTGTGGTTGAGGGCTGGTGGGAGGGGGAGACAGGGGATCAGGAGGGAGGACTCCAATTGTGGCCCTGAGAGAAGCCTCAGCTCTGGTTCAGCTCCTGCCTCTCAGCCCAACAGGCTGTACCCCGACCTTCTTCCAGGATGGGGTCCCATTCCAGCCCTACCAGGGGCCACCATAACCTCTCCTGTGGCCTCTCCTGGAGTCTGTTCCATACCTGTCACTGTCACGGAGAGCGTGTTCCATTTGTAAGAATATATACCAGAATATTTTGCCTCAGCCCGAAAAAAGTAAACTCCATCATCGGTCTTCCTGGCGTCTCTGATGTCCAGGGAGCAGTTGTTGGTCTGGGGATCCCAGAGGAGGTGGAATCGGCCCTGGGTCTCCTCCTGCACATTACGAGCCGGGTTGTTTGTGACCACAGCAGCATCGTGGAATTCATTAGCTCCTTCCTGGAACCAGTAGCCATATGCAGGGGAAGGATTATTCCAGTATCTCCCCGGGTAGATGAAGGTACAGGGCACAAACACGCACAGGCCCTCTTGCACTGTAACAGGTGTCTGCACTCTCACCGTGTATCCACTATGCTGAGCCAGGGACCCTGCAGGAAAAGGAGGGTCAGCTGCAGCCCCTCCTCACTCCCCCCTCTCCCTTCAAGTGCTCACCTGCCCACAGCAGGGGCAGCAGCCACAGCATCTCTGACATGTAGAGTTTCTGGGCTCCTGTGGGTGAAAAAAGAATGAAGACGGTGGGTGGGGGGACCGTGGTGAGACCACGGAAGCTGGGGAGGAGCATGAGATCTCGGCCGTTCACAAAAGAGGAACCTCAGAGCCCAAGCGCTTCCCCTCTCTGCACAGAGCAGGCAGACATCCCACAGCCCAGAGACCCAGGACACCCTCCCAGAGAAGGACAGACAGAAAGCTGACTCCATGTCCTGTCCTATCTTGGGTTTTCCCTGCAGTTCCAGAGCAGAACCAGAACCTCTGAGGACATCTGAGGAGAGGACACGGGAGTCTCCTAAGGTCCTCTTGTTGGGGGCTTTTCTGAGCTCTGGTGTCTACATCAGAGCTGGTTCACTCCTGCATTTACAGGAGGTGCCAGCCTCATCTAGAAGCTGTGGTCGGTCCTACAAGGTGTAGGATTCTGTAATGTCCATGTGAGAGTTTGGAGCAGAAGAAAAGAAGGGGGTACCAAGTGAGGTGAAGGCAGTATTCATTCACTCATTCATTCATTCATTCATTCATTCACCAAACACTCAGTGAACATCTATGTGTTGGTTGGCTGAAGACAAGACAAGAACAGATCCATGGACCTGGTCTATGTCCCTGAGACACTCCCCATTCAGTGACATCACTTCCTCCCAAACACAGTGCTGTCGGGCTTTTGAGCTACGGTCACTCATTAAAATGTGGCTCCAAGAACTTAATATTCTAGGGAACATGAGTGGAATATGCAGCTACAATTAAAATTTGGGTTCAGCTCACGTGGTTTTCCATCTGAGTCTGTGGATATGCATCTTGCAAACTCTTGACCCCAGTGACATAAAAGCATTTGTCACCAGATATTTGTAAAATCTTTCAAACACAGTAGTATCTAGATCATCGGTTCTCAACCTGTGGGTCGAGACCCCTTTGGGGGTCAAACGACCCTTTCACAGGGGTTGCCTAAGACCATCGGAAAACACATATATAACTACATATTGTTTTTGTGATTAATCACTATGCTTTAATTATGTTCAATTTGTAACAATGAAAATACATCCTGCATACCAGATATTTACATTACTATTCATAACTGTAGCAAAATTACAGTTATGAATTAGCAACGAAAATAATTTTATGGTTGGGGGTCACCACAACATGAGGAACTGTATTAAAGGGTCGTGGCATTAGGAAGGTTGAGAATCACTGGTCTAGAGAGAAGGGCCTTCAGTCTTACTAATACAGAGAGACTTTTGTGCCCTCATTTGGTGGATAAGAAATTGAGTTTTGTCCTGGCCGGGGTAGCTCAGTTGTTTAGAGTCATCCCAATACAGCAAAGTTGTGTGTTTGATTCCAGGTCAGGGCACAAGCTCTGACTCTGTGTCCTGTCCCATCTCAGGAGCCTCCCTTCAGCACCAGAGCAAAACCAGGCCCTCTGAGGTCATCTGAGGATGAGACGTGAGTCTCCAAGAAGCAATCACTAAATGCATAAAAAGTGGAACAATAAATCGATGTTTCTCTCTTCTCTCTTCCTCTCTCTCTCTTTCTCTTACACTTACCTTTTCTCTCTCAAATCTAAATAAAAAATAAGAAAAAGATATTGAGTCTCCAGTAAATAAAATGATGTCTTGTTCTTGGTTGTTAAAAAATACATGTAAGAATAAAGCATATAATAGAAAGCCCATTACAAATGCTGTGTATCCTAAAGAAAGGTATACCATTTTCATGGAAGGGAGGATTCTGTGAGTTCTAATATGTATTTCTTTTAATAACTTCATAAATTGCACAAAATAAAATGTAGCCACTTGTGTATGCATTTCTATGAATTTGAACAAATGGGATTGATCCACAATCAAAATATAGAGAATTCCCACTACCACCGAGATTTCCCCCACCTCTTTCCAGTTCATCACTGCCACCTCCAGCCCCTGATTCACCTTCAATCATGGTGAATTAATTCTGTCTATAGGAGAATTTCTATAAATCTTCTGATTTGAGTCTATATTCTCTCACTCAGCATAATATTTGTGAAATTGATCCAAGGTCTATGTATGTGTTCTTTGTAATGTATTATTACTAAGTGGTATTCCATTGTATCTCATCCTGGTTGTAACATGTAATTTTCTAATAACAAGTGATGTTAAGCTTGTTTTCAGGTGGGTAGCTGCCATTATTTTTCTTATTAGATGAAATGGCAGATTAGTTCTGTGGCTTTTTTAAAATATAAAACTGTAGTAACACAAACTTAACAAAAACATTTCTAATTGTCTGGGTCAGTGGCATTAAGGACATTCACATTGTTGTGGGACCATCACCACCATCCATCTCTAGATCTTTTGTCATTTTTCCCAAACTGACTCTCTGTGCCCATGAAAAGTACAGCTCTCCATCCCCCCAGATGCTGGCAACCACCATTCTACATTCTATGTCTCTGAATTTGCTAGTCTAAGTACTTCATGGAAGTGGTATCACACAATATTTGTCCTTTTGTGATTGACTTGCTACACTTAGCAGAGTATCTTCAACCCACATTGTAGCATGAGTCAGAATTCACTTCCTTTTTTGAGGATGAATAACATTCCCATGTATGTGTACACCACATTGTGTTTGTCTGTTTCTTGGTCGATGGGCCCTTCGGCTATTTTCACCTAATGGTGAATAACGCTACTATGAACAGAGATGTATAAATATCCATTAAAGTTCCTGCTTTCAATCCTTTGTGTAAGTACCCAGAAGTGAAAATGACTGGTTCTTATGGTAAATCTATTTTTAATATTTTGAGGAACTGCCACACTGTATTTAAAAGCAGATACAGAACCTTGGAATATAGAGCAAAGCCCAAGAGTTTCATTTTTTTCATATCGGCTCCAAGTCTTGTTATTTCTTGTTTTTATTTTATTTGATTGATTTCAGAGAGGAAATGAAAGGGAGAGAGAGATAGAAACAATGATGAGAAAGAAACATCATCGCTGGGCTGCCTCCTCATGCCCCCTACTGAGGATAGACCCCACAACCCTGGCATGTGTCCTGACCAGGAATCAAACCAGAGACTTTTTGGTTCCTGGGTCGACACTCAACCACTGATCTATACCAGCCTAGCTCCTTTAGCTCTCTTTGAAGTAACTTTCACAGAACAGCAAGCTCCTGCTCCCGAAAATATGGGTCACTCATGAGGTGACCCACTAATGTGTCAGGACATGGAAGAGCAGAGCAGACATGGCCTGGAGACATTCCAGGATTGCAAAAGGTAACATGGGCAGTGCAGAGGGCTGAATGATGGCCGCCCAGAGATATCCAGTTCTTAATCCCTGGTACCCCAAAATGTTCCCATGTAATGGAAAAGGGGACTTTGCTGATGGAATTAAGGTAAGGATATTCACATGAAGAACATCGTAGATTATTAGGGTTGATCCCTGAATGCAGTCACGAGTCCCCAAGATAGAAGTAGCAGGTGACTCTCTACAGGCAGAGCAGGATGAGGCCATGTGACCAGGAGATAGGTCTCAGTGATGCAGCCACACACCAAGGACAGCCGGCAGCCGTATTAACTGGAAGAAGCAAGAGACAGGTTCTCTCCTTGATCCTCTGGAGGGAGTACATCTCAACCAACAACCGGATTTCTACACAATAGAACCCATTACACACGATGGGGTGTAGGACATGTTTCCCCAAGATGTAGCACCCAATCTTTCTTTGTTTCTGAGTTCTCCATCAACAGTTTAGAAGGGCAGAGGGAGAAGATATTTTTACTCTCTACATGTATTTCTGGTCTCAAGAACTAAGAAACTAAATTTCCATTTTTTAAAGACACAGAGTGTGTGGGAGTTTGTCACAATGGCCCCAGGAAACAAATACAAGTGGCAATTCATGGAGCACCTCTGGGAGGACGCAGAGGAGGAGTAGAGAAAAGATCTTCACCAGACTCATCCCTTTGTTCCTCTTTGCAGCCAATTTTCACAAAGGGTTGTCTGGACTCACTATTCCCATATCCCCTCCTCCAATTCTCTCCTGCAGTTGCTCCAATCATAAATTCACAACTTTTCCACCAACCATTGAATTCCCTGTTGTCAGGATCTCCAACAACAATGTGTTTCTTTGTGTCTTCTCTTCTCTATGTGCCATCAGTCCTTTTCCTCCCTCATCTGTTGTCATCATCTCACACTGACTATCCATGTTCACATCTCCCATCTGGACCCCTCTCCTGATCTCCAGACCTTCACACCAGCTCTCTCACTGACAGCCGCTGTTGGATATGAAGTGTCTTCTCAGAATGAACATCACCCTCAAACCCTCCTCTCTGTGTCCATCAAATACACATTTTCTGATGCTCAGGGGAGACACTTGGGCACCACCATTGCTCTAGACTTTCAGTCCCCAAGTCAACTGGAACTTCAATGTATATCCAGAAATTAAACCTCACTCTCCACCTCACTTCCCTGGTTCAGCCACCATCCCTCCTTGCCTTCTGTGTCCTTCCCATTCTGTTTGGCTGCTATGGACACACTAGTCTATTCTGAAAAGAGCCCCCATGAGAATCTTTTACAAAGAATGTTCAACCATATCTCTGATTCCCTCAGTGGCTTCCCAGTTCCTGCATTTGCTGCAAGCTTTCACTAGGCTGCACACCATTGGGTCTGCACCTCCCTCCAGGGGTCTACCCTTCCAGGCGCCCCTGGACTGTTATGCCAGAGTCTTGTATCCATCACACAAAGGCTGCTTCTGCGTCAGAGCTGGGACACTGCTCCCCATCTTCCCAGCTAATCTCCTTTAGGGCAAAACACAGTGTGCTCTCTCACCAGCATCAAGTCTAGGCTCAGAATCACAGTTCATACTCTCAGATGTTGGAATTGTCCCTCCATGTCACCTGATCTTTCCTTGTATGATTCCTCCTCAAACACATATCACCATCCAATAAGCTGTAATAATTTTTAAATTTATTTTTAATTTATCCTCTTGTCTCCAGAATGACAGCTTCTGGATGACACAGATTTTTCATGCCAGGTTCATGGCTGCATCCCCATTACCTACAACAATGCCGGCACATAGTAGGTGTTCAGTTATACTTTCTAAAGTGTCTGTATATAAATGACTAAATATGATTTCATTCAAATCCATACAAGAATCACACACACACACACACACACACATCACACACATGTTCAATTGGATGACTATTAACTAAGTTCGAAGTATGATCATCTGTTGGAGATGTGTGGATGGGGAGGGAAGGGTATTTCAGCCGAAGGAACTGCACATGCAAAGTCTCAGAGTCACAAAGGCCCTGGCCCAGCCAGATGTGGAGATGATGTGAGATGCAGGGAGATCATAGAATCTAGTGGAGAGTCCAGCAGGAGACAATCCACTCTGAGCCCTCAAGTCCAGCCTTTGGTGGTTGCACCTCATCTCTGGCCATGGAGAGGAAGCGTCATGTTCACACTTTGCAGGGAGTGGACCATATGCCTCTGGATACACAATCTGGAGACAAGTAGCTGGTGGGTTCAGGGACCCAGGGAAGAGATGAGGCCACAGGAACAATTCCAGCACAATGAGCAGGAGATGGCCATCAATGTAGGCTCTGACTGGGAAGAAGGATGGACAAGTCTTGGTGGATTGGGGAGAACTGGTTGGTCTTAGAGAAGGGGGCCACCATGTCATCACTGTGATGGGAAGCCCAGCAGAGAAGTGGGTTTGGGGAGGAAGGTGACAGCTCCATTTCAGCAATGCTGATGGGCAGACCAGTGGGAGGTGTTAGTGGGTGTTGGGTGGTGAAACACCTGCATCACTCACCTGAGGGATTAACCTGAGACTGTGTGTGCATCCTCTGTGCTCCTTTGGGGCCTCGGGGCCTTCCTCCTGTAGTACCTGACTCTGAGGGAAGACACCGGGATCTTTCAGTCTGATCGCATCAGGTCCAGTGGGCAGCAGACCCAACCCCCTGCTCCCTGTTCAGGGCCTGGAGAGGAGACTGAAGTGGGAAAGGGTGTGTCTGGCCTGACAGACCCTCCTGATCACTGTAGGTACCTCCCACCCTGGAGACCTGGCTTATGGGACATTCAAGAGGTCTGTCTGTATGGAGTCCTCATTCACCACACCTTCACCTCCTTCCAGCCCTGCCCCTGACCCATCGGGATCCAAGGTCTCACTTCAGCACTCAGCCTCCTGCCCCCAGGCCTCCCTTCCTCCCTGAGCTGAGCTCACATGAGGACGATGAGGCAGAGGAGAAGGAACAGGATCTTGACAGCGGCTTCCCCGATGGCCATCAACACCACCTCAGTCCTGGGTCCTGATAATCCTGCAGGAAAGAGGGACGAGGATGGAGCCCCCTGCTCGGCTGCAATTCCATGTCCTCCTGTTCCCAGTAGGACCCTGGACATCATTCTTCAGGCGTTCCTGCATCACCGGATTCGGGATCGCTTGGGCTCTCACCCTAGGCCAGTGATGGCGAACCTTTTGAGCTCGGCGTGTCAGCATTTTGAAAAACCCTAACTTAACTCTGGTGCCGTGTCACATAGAGAAATTTTTTGATGTTTGCAACCATAGTAAAACAAAGATTTATATTTTTGATATTTATTTTATATATTTAAATCCCATTTAACAAAGAAAAATCAACCAAAAAAATGAGTTTGCGTGTCACCTCTGACATGCATGTCATAGGTTCGCCATCACTGCCCTAGACCCTGCCCTGATCCCCAGCAGTTGGACAGAAATGGAAATGTGTAAATTGGAATTCATCAAATTGAAACATTCTGATGATCAACAGACATGATGGGGAAAATGAAAAGCCAACCCACTTAATGGGAGAGAACATTTGCTAGCTATAGATTCGATAAGCAATAATAACCCGCCCATATGCCAAACTCTTAGAACTCAACAACAAAAAGTCAAGGAACAAGATTAAACAATGGGCAGACACTCGATATGAAATGTTTTTTTAAGGCGATATACAA